TAAATGTATTTGCACTAAACTTAACTTGGTAAGGTTTTGTGTTTTTGCAGTTATAAGTCATAAAAGCAGCAGTAGGAGCCGATCAGCATTGCATTTGAAGCAAATAATTTCAGGAATTATTGACATCATAAAGTAAATACATCATAAAGTTTTTGATTTTAGAGTTAAAAACGCAGCAGTTGTTTGTTTGTGGTGATTGAATCAGCAGCTGCTTTAAAGATAATGAAAACAGTGAATGATTCAAAGAGATCCGCGTCATTTCGGCGCATTTAAATGATTTACAACGTCACAATTTGAGTTTTTGTCTTTGTCAGAGTACCAGCAGATAAACACAGTCATTCAAAGAGAAATAAGACTTTTTCAGCGTATTTCATTTTCTTGTTGCGAACTGGACCGCAGGTTCTTGAACTGCGAAAACTATCAATATTCCGCTAATGTCGAAAAAAACCTTTCGTAATTGCATCTTAAGTAAGATGCGCAATTAAAATCACGCTTGAATACGTTTGTTTACGTGATACGTCATTAAAAAACATGACGCAATCTTCCTCCAACTACTGCCTGTCCTGTTCTTCTTCGTGGTTTGCGCCAACTCCAACATCCGGTTCCTTATCGTGTGAATCGGAAAAAGTGTTTCTATTGCAGTTTTATTAAATAAGCTGAAAGAAAAGAAAAAAAAACACCCTAAACCTTTAATCGAAAACTTATTTTTTCTAAACTGCCGTGTTCATTTTCTAAATGTCAAATCGCGAAAATGGAAACGCAGGTCGTGCTGAAACTCCTCCGTCTTAAAGAGACAGTGTGAAACTGATGCATCACCGAGTCCAGTTTCTGCATTAACATGTAATTATAACAATCACAAGTTCTGGTTCCCAGAAATGAACATGTTTTGATCCGAAATGTGTGAATTATGTCTTCCTGTTATCTTGTTCAGATGCATTTATTCATATTTTTGTTTAATTATTTTCAAACTTTACTTTTAACACTTCGTTCAGCATCTAAAGCAGAAAACATTCAACAAACTTTGGTCCAATTTAAAATCCAGGGAAAGGAAATCTGATAGTTTAGATGCCAAACCGAGTGATGAGGGTTTTTTTTTTTTTTTTTTTTGTGAAATAAATGTAAACTGTGATTTAAAATAATCTATTTTTAACCCTCCTATTAGCATCTTTTTGATTCCTTTTAAAGGTTTATTTACAAAATCAACACACCAAGTCAAACCAAATAACTGCCTAATTTAGAAATGTTCAACATTTAATCTCTGGAGTTTTATTATAATTATTATTTCCAGATGTTTTGTGTTTAATTCTATTTATAAAATGTTAATTTAGGAGAATCAAGTCCAAGTATTTATAAGTATTGCATAAATGTTTGTTCAGATTTATATAAAAAAGTGAAATAGTCCTGCACTGCTTGAACAAGAACACAACATCTTTAAAAAATACTTTCTGTAAAATGATTGTGATTTAGTGACAAAATATTCACTTGGTTGGGTTTTATTTTCTGTTTTCATTCCTCATAAATCATGAAATAACAGCAAAACTCAAAATCTTACCAAGTATTTTAGATCTAGTTTCTGGAGCAAATATATTAGTGCAGCAGAAATAAGATAAAAACTTTATCAAGAAAGAGGAGCTGGAGCTAATCACTTAATATTGATTTTAATAAAGCGTTTTACATTTTAAATTATTTCACTTAAGATATTTATAAGGGAAATAATCTGCCGATGGAACTAGTGTTTATTTTAAATATTAAGGAATTACTGGCTTAGAACAAGCTCCTGTATCTTAATGAAAAGTTAATTGAAAGTTATTTTTGTTTGATTTCAAGAGTATCAAGATATTTGCTCCAGAAACCAGACCAAAACTATTTGGTAAGGTTTTGTGTTTTTTTTTTTTTCAGTCCATTGTGTTACTTCATAATTTATGGGGAATAAAAACAGACAATAAAACCAAACCAGGTGGATATTTTGTCACTAAATATCCGTAATTCTTAGCAGGAGCCATAATATCAGTGTTTTGTTTTAAAACCAAACATTTCCAGGCTTTGGCTAAACATGAGCATAAATATTTGTCCTGTTGCTAAATGGGACGGAAACAGGAGAACGAGCCTGGATCAGTTTAGGACGTGTTGCAGCTGCATGCTGTCTGCAGGACAGGCCTGCAAAGCCAAACGTCAACAGGCAGCGCTGGTGGCCTACTTAGAGCCGCTAGACAGGTTCAGGAGACATTTCAGGAAAAAGACAGGCGTGGTTCTTCTTCAAATCCCATCCGTTTTAGGGCCGCTGTAGATATGAAAAAAGAAGAGTTTCTGCCAAAAACATCTGAAATTTTGAGACAAAGCTGAGAAATTTTACAGAAAAATTAGGAAATTTCTGAGTTTTAAAAGTCAGAAATTTGCTAGAAAAACTTCAGGAGGTTTTGAAATTAATCTTAGAAATTTTCTAGAAAAAAAAAAACATTTCTTAGTTTCAAGTAAAAAAAGTTCAGGCTTTAAAAAAAAGTTTTTTTCCAGTAAATTTCCAAGTGTTTTTTGTAAATTTTTGTCTTTACAAAATTTGAAATTTTAGTCTCAAAATCTTAGATTTTCTTTCTAGCAAAACGTCAACTTTTCAAACTCAGCAATTTCCACGTGTTTTCAAGAAACTTCTGAGATTAACGGCAACATCTCAGATTGTTTTCTAGCAAGATTTTAACTTTTCAAGCTCTGAAATTTCAACATTTTTTCTTGAACATTTCTGAGCTTAATCTCAAAATTTAAATGTTTTTCTAGCCATTTTTGACTTTACAAACTAACAAATATAGTAGTTTTTTAATTAAATGTACTATTTCCTGGCAGAAATTCACTTCTCTTCCTCCTGTGCCTGCAGTGGCCATAACAGGCATTTATATGCAAGTTAAATATAAGCAAAACCCAAACATTGTCTCTGTCCTGGTTCGGTGTCCTCTGCTGCAGAGGCCCAGTCTGTGACGTGCCAGCAGGTCAGAGGTGACACGGCGTCCAGCTCGGTCGCCAGCTGGTCCTCAGGTTTTATGTTGGCCTTCTGCAGAGCCGCCATGCTGAGAAGAAGCCGGAGCGGCAAAACTCGACATGTGGCCTGGAGCGAAACCCGGCAGGACGCAGATGTCATGGCAGCTGCCGACAGGGAGGAGTGGGACAGCCAATCAGTGACTCAGGTGAGGCAGCAGAGGAAAACATGCTAAATAGGGAACATTTCTTTCAGCTTTTCCATTATTTGAATTTGAAAAATATTGTTTTGCACAACATAAAGTTGTGCAAAACAATAAAACAGACTGGTGGCCACACTTATGCAAATGCACTAATACCATAGCTGGGTAGTAACTAGTTACATTTATTTAATTACATGAGTAACTTTAAAAAAAACTTTTAGGAGTATTTTTATTATGCTGCACTTTTTGCTTTCAGTAATTTTATTTTGAAGTATCTCTACTCTTTTACTCTTACTTGAGTAAAATTTCTGGATTTTCCTCCCACTGAATGTTTTAACTAAAAACTCACCAGACACAGAGTCACACCTGCAGGTTTTGTTGTTAAAAAGTTCACGCAGTAGTTCGGGTTTGAACCCGGAGCCTGCAGGGACACAACAAACCTGTTTCTTACTCTTCTGTTGGATTCCTGCCTGTTGGCAAAATCACAAAAATGCTGAATGCAAGCCTGAATCTGCTCTGCTGGGACGAACACCTTCAGACTCACATCGAATTGTTTGTTTCTCTCCAGATCGGCGACCTGGACTCTGACATGGATCAGCTGGTTGGAACCGGAGCCGGAGAGGTTGTGGTTCTGCCCTTTGCTGCACTGGGGAAGCGGGAATCATTCTCCATCTGTGAGCCGCAGGAGGAGCTGAACCCGAGTTTATGGGCCGCTGACGACAGGGAGGAGGACCAGGGTGAGCCGCACTGCAGAAAACCAGCACTGAGCATGTAAACAAAGCTGGAACACAAAACTCATGATTTATTCAGCTAAATGTGTTTTTACTCACCATATCTCACTCCATCTGTCTGGACGTCATTCAGTTTATGCTAACATAAATGGATTTGGAGCATTTTACTCCTTTTGTTCAGGAGGATCACAATAACACATTTTACTGGATGATAACATGATAGATGTTATTGCAATAAACGATAATTATGTCACTGCAGAGTTGGGTAATAAATAGTTATATTAAATCAATTACCTTTACATGAATAACTTGTTTTATTCTTTTTTTTACTTTTAGGAGTATTTTACTATGCTGTACTTTTAATAAAATTACTAAAGTAATTTAATTATGAAGTATTTTTACTCTTACTTGAGTAAAATTCCTGAATTTTCTTCCCAGTGAATGAAAAACAAACATCTTTTAACCAAAACTTCACCAGACACAGACCTGCAGGTTTTGTTAGTTTCATAAGTTTTTTATTGTAAGAAATTGAATTGGAACATTTTTTTTGGTCTGATTTTATTTTTTTGTTAGTTATCTGAATTATCGTCATTTTGGTTCTTAAAATACCAAAAGTTTGAATTAACTTTATATTTTGGTCCATCTGATGATGTAATGTTTAACTTTTAAGATAATCTGATCAGTTACTCAGTTCTTGAGGAGCAGTGACGCACGGTGAGGTTCATAGCTGGTGAGGCACCGACTTAATTATAACCGGATTTACAAATCTAGACCCCTGAATGTTATTGTTTACTTAAGGAAATTTCGCGCATGGTACAATGCTGGAGGGCAAAAAGATTATTCTTTAACATGTGATGCTTTGCCGCGCCGCCGCCGCAGAATAATGCCGTTATCTCAATCTAACTTAGACATGTAATATTATTAATTACGTGCTGTGCTTAACAGCAAAGGGAGAAACCGTTAAGTACATCTCAAAACCATGTCTAATCACAAAATTTCAAGTAAATTATTTCTTATTAGACGAAGCTCAGAGCACTAAATGTTTCCAAAGTTAGCAAAAATGCTACATAGCTAAACAAAAAATTAGCTTCTCTATTAGCGGATTAGCAGAAGTGTGCCCAAAATTTGGGCATAAATAAATTAGAAGATTTGAAATTGTTTAACATTTAACTTTACGGTTTTTAAAGTTGCAGTATCGTGTAAAATCACTTTTTAAAACTTTTCATCAGATTATAATGTTATTCCCTCATCAAAAACAAGATATTTTTGTACAGTTCTGGTTTAATTTGTGCTCCTCAGTTCATATTTTCCTGTCAGCGATTAATCGATTACTAAATTAGTTAAGGATTATTTCATTTACTGATTAATCACGATTAATCCGATTAATTGTTTCAGGTTTAAATAGAATCCTTATTAAATCTTGCGCATTCTTCTCATTAATGTAACACATTTGTGTCTTAAATAATTCGTAGACCTCCGTTGTAGTGGAGCTCTGGTTTTGAGAACTGGTAGAATAAAACGCGTTCTTCTTCTTCTCTTCTCAGTTTTTGACTGGGTTTGGGACGAGCGCTGCAAGTCGTCCGGCGCCTCCCTGAGCTGCAACGACAGGAAGGTGAGCTTCCACTCGGACTACAGCTGCGGCACGGCCGCCATCCGCGGCAACAGGGAGCTTTCAGAGGGCCAGCACTACTGGGAGGTGAAGATGACTTCTCCTGTCTACGGAACCGACATGGTCAGTTTCTTTAAATCGGTTAAAATCTGAACCTAGTTCGTGTATGGACCCGATCCCGCCCCATTTCCCTGCAGGGGGGGAAAAAAACTGCTAGCAGACAGATGATGATTAGCATATGTTTTAGTTGTCAAATTGTCGATGTAACGCGCTAAATCTAAGTGTACGCCTGATATTTAAAATGTAAATGGACGCAGGGCTTTGCTACTAATTTTCTACACTATTACAACTAGATAACAAGGTCCGGAAAGACTTTTAACTAAGAAAAAATAGCGAGGGAGAGGGAAGTAGGTCAGTTATGCTAGCTTGACAACCGTAACATGTAGATGTGATGTGTAATTAGGTGTTTTGGTTCAGTTAAAAATCGTTTAAAAAGGCGACCTACACACAGTGGCGCAACTGCACATTATTCAGGTGGATGCGAAAACATAAATCCCTCTGCGCCTCTGCCTACACACCAACTCTGACAGATCATCACTACTGCAGGTGTTTAAATTAGCTAATCAACCGCCGCTGTGTTAGCTTAGCTAATAGCAGGGTAGCTAATCTACCACAGCGATCAGTTATTAATAATATTAGGTATTAGATGATCTGTTGACACAAAATCCCAATAATGTGACTCTATATGAAAACTTTTGCAAGACGCTGAATACTGATTTATCTTCTGTCTGTTCTCTGCAGATGGTTGGGGTCGGAACCTCTGAGGTGAACCTGGATAAGTTCAAGTTCAGCTTTGGCAGCCTGTTGGGCCACGATGAGGACAGCTGGGGCCTCTCATACACAGGTTAGACCTCTTCCTGTTCAAATGTCTGGATTTTTACCTCTATGAGCCAATTTTAAACCAAAAACGATGTTTGTTTGAAGGTCTGCTCCAACACAAAGGAGACAAAGTGAAGTTCTCCCCTCGGTTCGGTCAAGGCTCGGTCATAGGAGTTCACCTGGACACCTGGCACGGCACTTTGACCTTCTACAAGAATCGGCACTGCATAGGTAACGGTTGAAGAAAGCAGCCATTGTAGCTCTGATTTAAGGTTTAAATGGCATAAATAACGGGGGACGGTCTGCTGCCGTAGCAAAATGGTTCCCGTCTTTATGAAACTGAAATATGAACCAGATCAAATGTGGGGTTCCTCAAGGCCACGTAGTCGGGCCACTTTTATTCAGTATATCAGAGACACCATCCCAGACTCGTTAAGAACTGCAGCATGTCTTAATGATATGCAGAGCCGGCCCAAAGCGTAAGCAAAGTGTGTTAAAATGCTTGAATCTGAAGAAAGGCTACAGATCTAGAGCTTTAATATTTGTTTACTGTGAAATCTATCAAATTTAATTCAGTCGCTTCAGCAGTGGTGAACACCGCCAATGCTAATATTGTTACAATATATTAGTTACCTAAAAATGCATTTTTACCTAAAAATGCTATATATAAAGTTACAAAGTTATTTAATACACATATTACTGCCCCTCTAAATGAATTGGAAAGTTGGATTTTGTTAAAGTGCAAAGAGTAATCTCTGTAGCTTGATTGTTCTGTTAGCATAGCTGCATAAAGTTATTGTTTACTTTGGTAGTTTCAGTGTTTGCTGTGTTTGGTCTCTGTTCCTCTGAATAATTTATGAAGCTAAACACATAAATGCCTTGCTTACAGGTGTGGCTGCTACCAGGCTGCAGAGCAAGAAGTTCTACCCCATGGTTTGCTCCACGGCCGCTAAGAGCAGCATGAAGGTGGTGTGCGCCTGCTTCGCGCCGACCTCCCTGCAGTACCTCTGCTGCGCCCGGCTGCGCCAGATGTTGCCCAGTTGCCCTGATGTGGTCGACGCGTTGCAGCTGCCTCCGGGCCTGCGCACCGTCCTGCAAAGTCAACTGGACTGGGTGTTCGCCCTCAGCAGCGGCCCAGACCGGTCCGAGGACGATGACTGTATGCAGACAAGCGTGCCTTCCAGCCCAAGTGCCTGCGCCGAGCCGGCGCCTCAGGATCGGCCCGCAGCATGCCACTGTCCGCCGACTCCGCCGAGCAGCGACTACGACAGCTGCTGCTCTGACCCGGAGGATTATCAGTGCAAACGATGCCGCTGGACGTGACCCACTTGCGTTTGTGCTGCAAAGCTTATTCTACTTCTGCCATGTCAAATTTCACTACACTGCAAAAACACAAAATCTTAACAAGTATTTTTGGTCTAGTTTCTACTGCAAATATCTTAGTTCACTTGAAATGATTAAAACTAACTTACAAGCAACTTTTCAGTAAAATACAAGAACTTGTTTTCATAAGTCAATAATTCATTAGTATTGATGAATAATTACTAGCTCCACTGGCAGATAAATTAACTTATAACATGGGGAAAAGTCTTGTAAATGAAATAATCTGCCAGTGGAACTAGAACTGGGTTGCTAGGTAACGACTGGGCTTGGCTAGGGTTGCTAGGTAACAGCACCAGTGGAACCAGAACTTTTTCATCATTAAGGAATTACTGACTTAAAATAAGCTCCTATACTTTGCTGAAAAGTTCTTTGTAAGTCAGTTTTGTCTTATTTCAAATGTACTGAGGCATTTACAAACTGGACCTCAAATGCTTTGTAATATTTTGTGTTTTTGCAGTGACTTACCAAAAAACTGATCATTTTTGGTCTAGTTTCTAGTGCAAATATCTTCGTGTACTTGAAAGAAGACAAAACTAACCTAAATGCAACTTTTCAGCAATATAGCGGCTTGTTTTTGTCAGTAATTCCTTAATGTTGATGGAAAAAGTTCCACTGCCAGATTATTTAACGTGTAACCAAACATTTTTCCTTTGACAGGTAAAATAATCTGCAAATTAAACTTTCACTTTGACTTATTAAAACAAACTCCTATATCTTGCTGAAAAGTTGTTTTATTTCAAGTGATATTTGCAGTAGAAACTAGACCAAAAATACTTGGTAACATTTTGTTTTTTTGCAGTGATCTAGTCGATGTTTAACAGCATCCATAGGCCTGTCACCACAATAAAGTTTGCTAGATGCTAAATTATCCCAGAAGTTATTGCGATAAACAATAATATTGTGTTTAAAGACCATTTTCAAGTAATATAATAGCAATAATAATCCAAGAACACATTCTCAAAGTTCAGTAAACTTTAAATTCTGATAAACATTTAACACTAGAACTGGAAGACATTTTAAATATGCAAAATAAATAAACAAAACAACAAATAAAATGAATTATCAAGTTTCTGCAAACAAAATTATCCTTAAAAAAGAGGCTGAGACTTAAACACCAGACTGAAGACTTTTATCAGCCAGAAAGAGAGAAAAGAAAAAAATACTGCAAATGGAAATTATGGAGTTTAATTTGTCCTGTGATTGATTTGTTTATTGCAGCAGGCTTAACCTTCAGCTCCTGTTTCTCTTTATTTGAACATCCTGTTTTAGCCAGTTTGTATTTTTACTTAGATGTTATTTTTATCTTTAAAATGCCACTGCTAATGCCTTTGGAAAAGGCAGGTCGGATTTGAAAAAGCAAACCAGGAAACTTGTTGGTTATTCTCAGGGATAGACTGTTTATAATACTGTAAAAGTCTTTTTTTATAAGTGTGGTTTTTTTATCTGTCTTTGAACTGAATATCAGATGAAAATGTGCTGAAACTGTTTTTCTATTTATTGCTAAACATCTGATTGTGAACTTTCTTACAGTCCTGTAAAAATAAACAGAAAAATAATGAAGTTTTGTTTATAGTTTCAGTTTTTATTCACCAAGTTTTTGTACCTCTTGAACTTTTTCAAATGTTTTTCATATTACAATTACAAACCTCACTGTGTGTTAGTGTTACATTTCTACAAGTGTCTTAAGGCCATAGAAAAGTCCAAATTTGCTTGGAAAAACATTCAGAAATTTTGAGATTAATGTAAGAATTTTTTCAGAACAACTTTTTGACTTTTAAAACTCAAACATTTCCCAGTTTTTTTCCTAGAAAATTTTGAGATTAGATAAGATTTTTTTAGTAAGATCTTGGAAATTTCTGAGTTTCAATTTTTTTTTTTTACTTTCAAACCCAGGCACTTCACAGTTTTTATCTCAAAATGTTCTGAGATCAATCTCAAAATTTATTTTTTTTTCTAGGAAATTTTCAACTTTTCAAACTCAGAAAAAAGGGAGGAAAGAATTTCCGCCAAAAAATCCAGGAAATTTCTATGTACAATGACTCTAATGCTCTGTCATACTTGTTTACATTAAACCAGAGAAGCATTTTCTTTTCCATAAAACTGCTCCATGGTTTCCAGATTGGGCCGATCAGTCCAGAACCAGCTGAGGGTTTTCTGCGGTGAGGCTGCGGTACATTCTGGCTGAAATATCCGGTCCAACTCTTCTTTCTTTCCCTTCTGTTTTCACTGAGAGCCCAGCCAGAATGCTCTTCTTCTCCGTCTCGGAACCGGAGTTCTGGTAAGCCTTCGGGAGACACATGCAAAAGAAAACCGTTACGATCCTCCGAACCTCCGGGGTTTTGCTTCAACGGCGGTTTATTACCTGCAACAGGAGCCGCGGAGACGGGAAGGCCTCGGCCACAGCGGCGGCCACCGCCGGGCTCACCCTGTTCAGCTGCTGGATCTGCCGGACCCAGACGGCCCTCAGACCCGAACCGTCCCTCCCAACCCGGGCCCCGCCGGCCCACGAACCGTCCACGCAGAACGGCAGGTCCGCCCGCTCAGTCAGGAGTCTGTGAGGGGTCAGAGGTTAGTTAGCAACAGAAGCTAACGGGGGAAAAAAACTGAATTCGAGGAAAGATTTTTGTTAACTTGAATAAATAAAAACGATAATTAACGGGGAAATGTACAACTAACTGGAACTCTGTCCTGCGTTTATAAAATTAACTAAAACTTTCTGAAATTGTAATATTCGTTTTTGAAATTATTTTTTAGCCTTTCAAGCTACACTTGAAACGTAAACTGATAGTTTACGACAGCGGTTGGTAAATTACGGCACTCCTTGCGGCTGTTACCATAGACACGCTAGTACGTATTCATTACCTAAACGACGTACAACTTTTTGAATTCTGAACCTAAAAATTATCTAAAGTATAAAGAAACTAAAACTACCACTCTAATGAAAACTAAGCAATATTTAACTAATAAACTAACAAAAACACTCTTAAAACAAATGAATTTAACTGAATTAGACAAACAAAAAGTCAGATTTAAATAAAATAAAGTATAAAGAAAACCCCAAAACTATTTTAACCCTGCAATAAGATGAAAATTTGTTATGGTAAAAATGAAGACGCACTTAGAGGGGCGTTTTGACAAAGCCTTGGTGACGGCGCACACATGGTCAGTGATGTCCTGCCAGCTCTCCACGAAAACCACAGAGATATTTTTATAGAGCTGAAGGTAAACAAGAACCTAGGAAGTACTGAAGAGGATTAGTGTCAAAACAAAAATTTGTAAAAGTCTTACATTTTGCTCAGAATTATAATTCTGTGTCAGTCTATGTCAAAATCCAAATAAATAACCCAAAATTCTTAGGTGCTTGTCAGTTATGTGGCTAGTATGTGAAAATAATCATATAACTTGCACTTTATCTTCACAGAAAGCCTGTCCCAAATTTATTTGGTTAATTTGAGTTTTAAAACTATATTCTCCTGATGACATATGAACAATTTAAACAATTCTGATTCTGATATTTATGTCGGAATTCTAAAGAAAAAAAAAAGAACAGAATTCTAAGAAAAATTCAAAATTCTGAGAAAAAGCCAAAATTCTGAGTTTACAGTCAGCTTTCTGAGAAAGAACAGGAATTCTGAGAAAAAAAGTCTGATTTATTTAATTTTCTCAGTGGTCCCAATCCCTTTCTGTAAAAGTTCAATCCTGTGAATATTTAACGAGCTCAGAAAAACTAGAATCCTCAAACAGCAAACAAACCTCCTCCACATCCTGATCCTTCATCCCCAGTTTGGTCCGCAGCATCTGTTCTGGAAAATATTCCTTCATCCTGTTGGGAAAACCAGGAATGCTCGCATGAAAACGGATCTAATATGGAAATAAGTTAAAAATTACAATGGTCTATTAGGGCCACTGTAGATCGAAAGAAATTAGTAAATTTCCCCCAAATCACTTTTAGATTAATTTTTAGATTAATCTCAGAAATTTCCTGGGAATAAACTGACCAGTGATACGACTCAAAGTCCGTCACCAACATGGTGACCACCTTATTCCGGTTGAGACACTGCAAGAGGGGACTGAGGACCGTCCCCGTCTCCTCCCCATCGCTGTCCACCATCTACAGTCCAGAGTGGGGACAGCATGGCATCAAATGCATCTCCATTCAGACGTTTTTACACTTTTAGGAGCTTCATTACTTCTTTAACGGAGATCACAATGTCCACAAAGTCAGCAAGAGTCAAGACCAGAACCATCTGCTCCTCCTCCACACGGGCCTGACCGTCTTCTGCCTGCTGGGAAGTGTACAACTTTGTCAATGATGTAAAAACAACCCCATGATTTCGCAATTGTGGTATTAAATAAACACAATTAAAATCACGTGAAAACGACAAGTCATTACAAAACATCACCCTCTAACTACTTCCTGTTGAGTTCTTTATAGTTTCTGCCAGTAGCAATATCCAATTGTTGATCAATGGACTTGTGTGATGCAAAAAAAGTGTTTCCTTCACAGTTTTTTAAAATAAACCAATTTTGATATGACCAAATAAAAAACACCTCTTTCTAACGCAAAAACTTTTTATTCAAAAATTTCTTTTTTCCCCAAATTTGAACATTTTCATTAAGCAAATTTATTTTCGGAATTCCAACTTTCAGGTCAATGGAAACCCAGGTACTGACCTGAATGGACTTTTGGTGTGAGGCGGGAGCATCCTACCTGAGGCAGATCTCTGGTCCAGGTGATGCTGCGAGACAAACGCTGGCTCTCAACACTGAACCTCCACTCCAACATGGCCAGGGTGTCCAGCAAAATGTCTGAGCCGTCATGTTGGAGAAGGGCTGCGGAGGTCAAAGTTAGTTTTTACACAATATTTACAACTGAGTTGAGTTTATTGCAGAAAACCACAAGTTAAACTTTAATATTCATAGAGCAGAGAGAGAAGGAGGAGGAGCGGTGCATAGAAGGCGGGGCTAACCCCACCCAGGCGTTTTGGACATCTGAAAGGTTGCCATGGAGATTAAATGATTTCTCAAACATGCATGAAAGATTCAAGGCAATTCCCCAGGTATGTTTCTGATGAGTGAATAATATTAAAACATGATGTAAAACTCAACATAGTTGATTTTACAGGATACTGCCTCTTTAAAATCTTAAAAGCTAAATAATTAAAAAAATCTTCTAATTTATCTGCTGAAACCCAGTGGTGAGCACACTTCAGCTAACAATGGAGCAAATTTTTTGGTTTAGCACTTTAGCATTTTTTGTTAACTTTGAGAACGTATAGAGCAGATAGCTTCCCCTAAATTCATTTTTCAGAATAAATTTTAAAGGGCAATTTACTTGGCTGTTTTGTAAACTTCCACTAGAATAAAGTACAACATCTTTGTTAAAGTTTTGGTTCTTTATAATTAAGAATTCTTTAAGTAGTTAGCTGCTTATATTTACGCTCTCACTTTGAAGTCTGTATATATAACAGTTTGTTTCCTCTTGATCCGAAATGATAAACGTGGACTCTCAACACGTTTCTATAAATCACTGAAATAAATAAACTTGTCAGTGATATTTACTGAGGCGACCTGATGAATTAACCGCACAGACATTGATGGATGGAATCAGAATGTCCGACAGCACCTAAACGCATCACTCCGTACCTGGGTCTACACAGACAGTCAGGCTCTTGATGCAATTCTCTGGCCGGAGGCTCTTGAGGGTCTCCGCCGCCTCTCTCCTCCGCTGCTGCTCCCGCTTCCTTTCCTCCTTCTCCCGGGCTCTGGCGGCTCTCTGCCGCTCCCTCTCCTCCTTCCGCTCCTTGGCTTTCAGCCTGGCCTCCTCAATCTCCTCCCTGCTGCGGCGTTTGCGTGCCGGGCTCGGGGTGCCGCCGGATGCCTCCGGAGCAGATAGAGCGACTCTAGAGTCACTTTTAGCCGGTGAAGACGGCAGATCTGTGGGTTTTTCCTGGGAGCTGAGAGCCTCCGGTTCTCCTCTGCTGTCTGTTGTTTCTTTTTGATAGCTTTCATCGCGGTTTAATTCTGATTTCAGGTCGTGATCGCTGTCCTCTGATTCAGAAATCTCCCATGTTATAGCTCTGCGCAGGACAGACATTTCGTTTTTAAAGCAGAATCTGCATTCGTTAGCGTCTATGTTTGTTTAGCCGCTACGGAGTCAACCGAGGGACAAACCATCTAAAATGCGATACACCATTTTCTTCTTTTTTTTTTTGCAGTTGGTCAGAGCGATTAGTGGAGTGTGGATCGGGATATAAAAATATTTACCAGAATAAATAAGTAAATAAATTAAGAAAATAAAGATCATGTTTTGTGATCTTATTAGAAGGTTCTCCATTTTCCTCCATTCCCTTGGTCTTTGTTTCCCCAGTGGCATTAACAAAAAAAAGAAAGAAAGAAAAAACATGATTTAGAGACTTTAGAAACTCGTTCATTGCTTTGCTCAACTTTTCAACTTTCTAGAGATATCCAGCTGAAGTGTGGATTAGAAATCTTTAATTAGAAACGGCAGAAGGAGGTGGGACTCAGCAGCTGCTGTCACCAGGTGGACCACAAAACAGATTACACACCTGTTGTTCCATGGATTAGGACTGAGAACAGCGACCTAATCTGACGGGATGGCTGTTATAACCTGTTCAAGAAACACTGAGTTTAAGAGTTACCGATACTTAATAGGCTGGACGATCAAAATCAGTCACGTTTGTGAACAAAAACAAGGAATCTGACTTTGATTTAACATATAAACACATGCAAATATATTTTTAAAAAAGCCAAAATAATATTAAAAAAATAATAATTTTGCAAAAGAGAAAGACAAGGTTGAATTAGTGCAGGTACATTGATCTGGGCACTGACTAAAGTTTTCATCTACATAATTATTTAAAGGTTGTATTTCTGTTAATTACAACGATTTTTCTCTTATAGCTAATAAAAACATAACATTTCAGGTTAGAATTTCATAGTCTGATCAGATTAAGATTAAGTTTTTTGTTTGTTTTTTATTTACAAAAAACCCTAAATAAGTAAGGAATATTTAGAAAATATGCTTAACATTAACATTATCGGTGATGCTTTGGGCCCGTTTCTCCTTCAAACACCTTGTAAACCTGTTTGGAGTCCATGATATTTCACTTCCACTGAATAAAATAGCTAAAGCTAAAAAATAAAAAAATAAAATAAAAAGCTAGTGTGAGATTTTGGTACAGCAATAAAAAATAATTTTAATCACATTTATTTCACACCTTTACCAAATATACCAGAAACAGCATGTAAATACATAAATGTATCAAAATGTATCACATTGTTACTAATTACATGCAGTTTTTTAAATTTTGGCTCATTAAATTTATAAGAAAGTCATGTAAATTTATATTCCAGTTAATAATAAATATCCCATTTCTTTTGGCTTTGGTACAGCTTTTATTTTCACTCACATCTTGTAGAGAAATTGTAGAATTTGAATGACAGCTGTAATAAAGAGCTTCATCATAATAAAGCTAAACTTTTAATTAAAGCAGTGACTGTTCTAGTCAATTATGCAGTTCAAGAACAAAACGGTTCATTAAAACAAGAAATTAGGAAATAGGATGTGGAGACATTAATAGTGAATAAGATATTAGTTAAACAAAATAAATAAAGCAATTATTATTTAAAGGACATATGATTATAATAAGAATTTAGGTTGGGGTTTTTTTTTTAAAGGAAAATAGCACAATAGATGGCGATAATGTATCTTAACGTTGGATGTCTCCCACCAATAAAAACCACGAAGAAAATGCGCTTCGTTTACGTCATTGCAGAATTCCAAATAGCTGGATGCGTCATCAAGAATGCTATCAATGCTAACGGTTCCATCTACATGATATGTAGATCTGCGGTTAGCGACCGTCTCACACTGACGTTGATTTTGCCGACGTTAAACGTCTGCCGCAGCTGCAAACCGTAAACAACGAAGGATGTGAAGCATTTTTCTGTTTTATAGCAAACTTATTTTCTTTCAGTATGGCTCAAGCGGCGGAGAAAGGTCAGTTATGTTGATTGATTTTCTAAAATTATTCCTCATATAGCATTTTATGCTAAACCGCTGTTACTCGCAGCCCACAGGATCCAACACTTCCCTAAAAAATGGGTCAGTAAATGAGCCACTCAGCATTTTAGACATTAAAAACTCATGTGAATGTACTTTTCTATTATGTGTTAGTTTCTCTTTATTACAGCTGTCTGTCATAAAGAGAGCTGTAATTCACTTCATTTGACTCCATGGAGCCATTTCTACCCTCAGTCCAGTTAAATAAAACTCGTTTAGTGCTGAAAATGTCTCATGAACATTTAAAAAAAAAAAAAAAAAAAAAAAAAAAAAAAAGTTTTAATTTTTAAAAATTAAGTTTGTTGGAAATTTTTTTTTTTTTTTAAAAAAAAAA